ACTTGAGGGCACTTTCCACCTCACAAACTGATAAAACTCTTCAAAAGCCCTTCGTGTTCCCTCATGGCAGCTACAGAAGACCAGAGTGAACAGATATAGAGATTCTGAAGGTTCCCTTCAGGCCACTAGAGGAGACTCCTCTCACCTTTTTGGCTCCCCTCAAAATCTGGTGTCCTTGGCTATCACCTAGGTCTGCCTAGTGGTGTCGAGCTGGCCCTGAAGAACGTGTATTTAAAATACTGGCATATCTGATGCAGGATCATCCTGTCTGCTATTAGCAGGAGTGATGATTTGTCTCAGATAAGCTATTCTAGCTAGGAATTGGATGTTTTCATTATTTGGATTATGTACTACCATTTGAAAAGAACAGGAAGGACTATATAGTATATAAATAAAATTCTTTCCATTCAATATTGGCCCTTTCTCAAACATCACCATTTTAAGGGAGAATTCTTAAGCACTGACATGAGAAGCGTATATTTCAGAGGAAGGGTGTATAAGACAGTCTCTTTTCCCATATGCATTGTAATAAAATGGCTGCCAGGCAAAGGCAGCAGTACCTTAAAATGGCTGCCAGTCTGGTAGTCCTCTGGAGGGGCTAGGCTTGCCAAGTCCCCCCAGGGGGTGGGGAAACCCCCACCCCAGAGGCCCATTCCCCGCCGCTGGCAGATCGGGCCCCGGGGGGGGAACCACACCCCGACGTGCCCGTCACCCGGAAGTGACGCGATCACGCGCCGGGCACGCTAGGGGCGGGGCCACGGTCATCCGAGGGAAAACTCTATGGTTTCCCTCAGATGGTCCCCCGCTGTGGCTCAAAATCATTTTGAGCCGGGAGTCCCCTACTGCAGCTCAAAAAACACTTGGTAACCCTACACAGGTCCCATTGGTGGGTTTAAACTTCCCGCCAAGGTTCCCATTGGTGACCACTTGAGGTTTCAGGATCCTAGTCCCTATTGTCTCTGAGAGCCAAGCTCTGGTACAAGTCGCTGACACCTGGTGGCGGTTAGCAGACATAACACTCAGCCTAGTCTTGGCCTTCGCCAGAGCTTGAACAGCAGCTTCAAGGGGTGTGTACAGGTGGGACTCCTGCTACCAACACTCCGTGGTCAGTCCAGGCCACTATAAATTGTGGTGGACAGCCAGGAGGGTTAGCAGTATTCGTGACCAGTCCTGAGGAGGGCTAGAGTTTCTCTCCAACAAGGAGAGGGAAAGCAAATCCTGGCCTGCAGCCGCCCACTATAGAGGTAGAGAGGGTGTGTGTAGGGGACAGAGGAATTGCTGTTTACTTCTGTTTATTTTCTGTGACTAACTTGTATATAAAATATTTTTTTTTTAATTATAAAGCCTGGTAGTGCCTTGACCACATAGTCCTCCCCACTTGGCACGTTACCAGAGGAAAGGGAGGCCAGGGAACTCAAATGGGCCTAAATCAGAGGGGTTGCCAACTCTCCAGGGGGTGCCCAAAGATTGAGATATCCACTTTCCTGTGTTGGGAAATCAGCCAGAGGGGTCTCACTGTTCCTCTATGAAGGTGGTGTCCATTCAGTGAGTGGTGGCAGCGACAGAGGAAGAAAATAGCCCCACCAGGTACGGTGGGCAGGCAAAAATGGGCTTGTGAGCCACAGAACGGCTATTCAGTCTCCCAGGGCTGAGGGCAGGTCCCCGTTTCATCACATGCATCCACGTTGTTGACTAAGAAATTGTTAATGCAAAGAGTCTTGTCCTGGTCTGTGTGATCAAACTGTCACGCACTCATCCTTGGGGCATTTACACCATCCAGTCCCCCCTGCACAATGAGAAGGCTGCTTGTTTAAAAGTAGATTCCCACCTCATGGTGAAAAATGCTAATGAGCTATTTGAGCCATGCAGTCACATCTCTCTGCATTGCTATAAAGGCAGAAGGCCACCACTCTTCAGGATATGAAAGATTCCAAAGAGATTAGGCTACATCATCCTAGCCAAACAGACAGCCTTGATTCTAGTGAGCAAACAGCCAGCCACCTAATCTACCAAGGGTCTTTTTTTCACAATGTCTCAATTGAACTACAAAAGTTTTGGCAGATGTCCTCCAGGAAGGAAAAATGGCACTTGTTCCCTTTAGAACACCTGGGCAGTGATTGTTGCTGTGGCTTGCATTCCACCTACCACACGTGCTTAGCTTACCTCCTCCCATTGCCTAGCCCAGGTGTCGGTAAGGCCCAATGCACATGGCTCACCACAGAGAGCCAGATGAGAATCTTCACTCAATGGAAAGTTGGGGGGGAGGGGGAAGAATGAAAGCTCCTTGGCTGCTTGTTCAATCTTTTCATGGTCTGGTGACACCCAATTATTTAGAATATTCTATTGATGAGCAGGAGAGCTTGGCTTCTGCCAGATGCCATTGTAACCCACAAAGTATTCACCGCCTGCTTCTTCAAGGACATTCCAGTGAACTAATTATTTTGGTACATAATACACCAGGGAGAGGTGGAAATCTTGACTTCCTTGGGATGGACCACTGCGGCTATTCTCAGTTGTGTTCGGCTTCAACTGTTGCAGCTTTAGATTTATTTTGATTCATGAGCATTTTTAAAGACTGTTTTTAATCAAAAGGCAGGATTTGTCAGTGCTTTAATAATAAAATTAGGTGAATAGGAACTGAGGAGCAATCTGGTCTTTCCTTGCTAACAAAGGAATTCAGTGGGATTCTTTTTCTTCTGTTCAGTTTCCTTTCATTCTTTGATGTTTCCAAAGTCTGAGGAAAATGCTTGACTCTGTGGGAAGTTTCCATGTAGTAAATATATTCCTGGGAGTGAAGGTGGTTTGGTATAGCCTGATCTTGTTTTATTCCTGGGAGTGAAGGTGGTTTGGTATAACCTGAGAGCTTGTCTGATCTCAAAAGTTAAGCAGAGTCAATACTTCGATGAGAGACTGCCAAGGGAGATTCTGCAGAGGACAGCAATGGCAAACCGCCTCTGCTTCTCACTTGCCTCGAAAGCCCCTTGCTGCAGTCACCATAATTTGGTTGTGACTTAACAGCACTTGCCTATGTAAATATATTCCCAGTGGCTAACACAGGGAACACTCCTTGAATCAGTGCTGGAGAGTACAGCGCTGCAAATTAGTGTAGAGGAGAAGCAAGTACATTGTACACAGCCCTGAACATCCTCAAAAAAAAGAGGCAGGTTGAAAAGTTAAAGATTACTCCAGTGACACTCGAGAGTATCAAAAATATTCCAGTTTAAGCCTTCCTGAGTCAGAGCCCACTTCATTAGATGCACTAACAAAAGTATTCCAACATAAACTTTCATGAATCAAAGCACATTTCATCAAATACATCTGATGAAATATGCTCTGATTCATGAACATTTATGCTGGAATACCTTTGTTAGTGCATCTAATGAAGTGGGCTCTAACTCAATGCAGAAAAATGTGTAGTTTTTCTGCAAATGGCTAACACAGCTAACCCTCTAGAATAAAACTGTAATTATATATATATACACACACACTAGCGTATTGGCACTTTCCTGCTCTCCCATTGGTTGTGCTGTGTGCTCCATCAGCCATTGGCCTGTCAACTGCCACTGAAGAGTACTCACGTGTCATTGTCTGGATGCTGGGTCTGCTCCTCTCCCCCACCCACTGCTGCCTTGACTACTCTTCCTTGTCTAAATAAACTGCCAAAATGGCTGTTTCTCCCAAGGAAGATGCTTTAGGTCCTCCTGCTACTAAGCTAACTTTCCCTTCAGTGGCTGTTACTAGGCAACCACGTTTGGTTCTGTCAATAAAAGGTGGTGGGGGAGGAGGCCCTTTCCAGGCCTATTTTGGCCTTTGAGACACAACTCATTGGAGCTAATCCTGACTAGGGTTACCAGCTACAGGTTGGGAAATTTCTGGAGATTTTGTAGTGGAGTCTATGGAAGCCAGAGTTTGGGGAGGGGAGCTGAATAGAATGGTGCATGAATAGAATGCCGAATAGAATGCCATAGAGTCCACCCTCCAAAGCAGTTATTTTCTCCAGGGGAAGAGACAGATCTGTTGTCTGGAGTTCAGTTGTGATACCAGGCAATTTTCAGGCTCCACCTGGAGGTTGGCTACCCTAGGCCTGGCAGCACCCTCTTGGTGACTTTATGCCATGTGACTGGCATGACTTAACTAAGCCTAGCTGCTTGCTCCTGTTCACCAGTAGCAGCCCCCCTATTACAACCACTGTGATGTAGCAATTAGCACTTCAAAACAGGGTCTGCCAGACCCAAGTTCTTGCTGTAGAAGCTGGCTGGGTGATTTTAGACCACTCACAGACTTTCAGCCTAACCTACTTCACAGGGTTGTTGTACAGATTGAAAGGGGGAGGGGAGAATGATGTAAGCTGTTTTGGTCCCCACTGCAGAGAAAGACTGTACTTTTCCTAGGTAGAGGCTGCAGGGAGGGGGGAGGAGATGGAAAGCTTAAGTCAGAGGGGCCGATAAAGGTTGGTTGATGGTTGGCTGGGAAGGAGATAGGGTTGTCAACCCCAGGTTGGGAAATTCCTGGAGATTTGAAGGGTGGAGCCTGGAGACGGTGGGGTTTGAGGAGGGGTGGGACCTCAGACAGGTACGCTGGCATAATTTCCACCCTCCAAACCAGCCATTTCCTCCTAGGGAACCATTATTGTCAATCTTCAGGTGAGGGCTGGAGATCACTCAGAATGACAACTGCTCTTCAGATGGCAGAGATTAGTTCCTCTGGAGAAAATTGTGGACTCTGTGTAATTATACCCAGCTGAGGTCAGCACAGCAAATTGATGCTGAGTGCCCAAGGCCGGGGCACCCACCCAGAGCCTCTTTCTTGAGCTCATTGTATTTATTTCCACAATGGGCCTTATTCCTATTAGATAAATAAAGATAGAGCTCCACATTTTACAGACCCAAAGTCTTCTGGCCAAAGGCTAATGGCTTTTCATGAGGAACTTTGAAAGCAGCTCATGGGTTTTTTTGAAAACAAAGCACATAACTCTTTGTACTTTAATTGCTTCTACTTAGGTATCAGTGAATGCACAAGTCATCTATGCCAGAATGGTGGGACATGTGTAGATGGAGTTGACCAGTACAAATGCATTTGTCCACAGGAGTGGACTGGTACCAATTGCCAATATCAAACACAGACAGGTATGTTATTTGCTTAGGTAGGTACTAGAGGCAGAAGAAAAAATATTTAAACCTCACATCCCATTCAAACAAATGAAAGAAGCTAATCATGTATCTGTGGATATAATTACCATGTGGTATTTGTGCCACATCATGTCCTTATTTGAATAAGTTGCACAGGAGGGCAGATCCCTGTTTTATCTGGTACACATCAATGCTCCCTCTAAGCTGTGTAGTCTTGTGAGCAAAGATTCTACTTTGCAAGCTACTGACATTAAAGTTGTGAGCGAGCGATTTGGCTGCTGCATAAATTAGTCTGCTCTGGAACCATCCTTCCTGAGCGAAGACAAAAATGTGTGAGCCGAAGGATAAAAAACTGTGAGCTAGCTCACACTAACTCAGCTTAGAGGGAACACTGGTGCACACACCTCATTTTCCCATCAGTTGCAATGATTCTAGGAGGTCCAAGAGGAGATTTCTTCTCCTTGTCTGTCCAGCCTTTGGAGATAGATCAAGATGGGTAGCCATGTTAGTCTGTCTGTAGCAGTAGAAAAGAGCAAGAGTCCAGTAGCACCTTAAAGACTAACAAAATATGTGGCAGGGTATGAGTTTTCGTGAGTCACTGCTCAGATAAAGCTAGAATGGGAGTCCATTTGTCCTATTTATCTCCACGCCTATTACCCCTCTGTATATCTCACCTAAATCCAATCACACTTGCTATTGTCATTTGCCTACTAATGTCATTTGCCTGCTAATGTCATTCGGCACCTGAAATCACTCCTCTTTCCAATAAATAGGACAGATGGATTTCCATTCTAGCTGTATCTGAAGAAGTAAGGCGCGCCCACAAAAATGCCCATCCCCTGCCACATATTTTGCTAATCTTTGGACTCTTGCCCTTTTCTACTGTCCAACCTTTGATCTTCTTCCACTTCATCTCAGCAAGTTTGCTGCTCTTGTGTACTACTGAATTCCATTTCCATTCCTATCCCCCTGTTCTTGCAACTGGAAATTTTCTAGGACTGCCTTAGCTCAAAAGCAGCATGACACACCAGAGCATCTAACTATTATTGTTGTGTTTGGCTGGCTCTTCCATCCAGAAAGACACATGCTCAGAGCAGGAGGCAAACTCGTTGTTGTTGTTGTTAATGGTTCCTGTTGTCTCCCTTATTTGTTAGTGCCACCAGCATGGAGTGTAACAAATGATCCAGCTTTTAGTCGCAAGCCACGCTGTGCCAAATTTGACCGGATGCAACATTGCAGCTGTGAACCAGGATTCCATATGAGTGGCACCGCAGAAAACAGCATCTGCCAGGGTAAGCGATTGATGGAATGGTGCATCTCAAGAATCACCAGTGTTGCTGGATCGGTAACTGAAAGTTGCAGGAGACAGATTTTTTGAGCTGCAGGAGCTGCTTCTTATGAGCCGCAGTCATTCAATATTCTTCTGCCATTACAGTGCCTGAAAATTCTATTCCTCATAAAATCTAGACTGTCCCATCAGTCTGAAATCTGGCACATTAAGGATACATGTTGTTTTATTTTTATTGTTTTCTGTTTCCCTTTGCTGGATTTTTGATGTTGATCAGCACAGTTGGCTATAGGAATGTTATATTCCTGCCCCTTATATTATCTGCTAAAATGTAATTGACAACACATAACCACCAGCAACATAATCTTCAAAAAACACCAGACAACAGCAAAACTAGTAAAGGTATGTTTGTTTTTGTAATTTATTGTTGTTTTTTATTTTATGCTTTAAATTATTTATGTCTTTGGTTTTCAGTTGCCATTCTTTTTATTGTGTGCTGCCTGGTGAATCAAGTTTGGTTAAGAGTGTAGGGTATAGACACATAAAGTAAATAGCAGGGATATGATAGATGAGAGGGAAGAAAGAGGAAAACTAGGGATAGGTGTGAGACAACGCCTTAGGCTTATGCATGCTTAGAGTTACAACTGTGTGTCTACTTGGAACTTGGAGGGAAGTATCAATATGTTCAATGAGATTTTCACCCAGATTGCATGAACATATAATTGCAGTCTTTGTTTGCAAGGGACTAAAGGGTTAAGTCATAGGCTCCTCATAAAGCTAGATTTTGAAGACAGTAACTGCTGATGGCAGAAGCCACACTCCTTGTTTGTTGCCCTTGGCTTTGAACTGGAATAAATGTAGTTCAATTGAGTATATTGGCACCTAGAGATAAGCCTTGAATTAGCTCACATCACATTGGAATCAGGTAGACACTAAAGCTTCCTTGTTAAGCCCTACCTGGCCGGTTGTTGTAGATTATCAGCTCAAAAAGGTAACAAAGCCTGATCCTCTGAAGCTCCACAGACACCAATGCCACCCCAGAGGACATCTGCAGCAGCATGCTGGACCTGATATGTCAGCATGGACCACTGATGTCAGGGCACCATGGGGCTTTCTGGACAGGTGCTGATCTTTCTGTAGAGTCTAGAATAAGAACTGCCTAAGTCCAAAGTGATTCACAAAACCAAAATAGGACCCACAGTAAGTAGGAAATACCAAAAATCAGCAAATCCCATGGTACAGACGATTATAAAATATCTCAAATAATTTTTATATTTTTTGTTTTATATTTTTACAATTAATTCACCATATATGATTTAATACATAGAAAGCATCATATATTCAAACATCTAAGCAGCGTCTCTTAATATATCACAAGAGATACTGCGCAACCCCTTTATTTGAGATATTTTATAATCGTCTGTAGCACGTCTGTAGTGAATCAGACAGACTTGTACATCAGGGTCTACCATCTAGCAACCTTTTCTGATCCCTCCTCTTTGCATCCAAAACTGGCACTATAGCACCTGCCTGCCCTCCTTCTGCTTTACTGAGCATTCAAGATGGTGCCGGTACCTAGAGAGGTCGCTTCCTCTCCTCTAGGGTAGCACCCTCTTTTTCCAGACGATGTTACCCTAGAAACAGGCATAGACAGTAGTTTCATTTCCAAAGTCAAGGGATGTCAACGGGGGAGCAGTGGCCATTTCCCTCAGGGAACATACCCCTAGAGGGCTGCTGGGTGCCAGGAACCAGCATAACCAAGCTCTAGTAACTGTGTCAAATCCTCAGGGGCTTCCCAGCTCAGACCATTAATTGGCAACCATAGTTGGTATAAGTTCACCAGTTGTCTTTTCCTGCACTGCTGTCAGTGTTTAGGAGGAAGCAATTGGTGAGCTAGTATTTGCTGTTTGTACCACTGAGCGGAGTGACCCCTGCAGAGCTGGCTTGTGGCACCCCAGGGACCACTCAGTTTGGCTTGTTTCAGGATCTCTGTGAGCAGGGGTAACCATTTGTGGCTGGAGAAGAGAAAGAGTCTAGCATCCAGGCAACTTACCTCGCATCTTAAATTTTTCAGGGCAAGAGTTTGAAATTTCTAATTTGCCTTGGCTAGCCCTGTCCAGAGGATGCAGAGTTGTCGTATCGTCACTACCATTATCCATTTTCATTTGCCTCCCTGGACATATTGACAAGGAAGGATGTAAGGATGTAACAGCACAAAAGCAAGTTCCATCCTTCGTGTTCCCCCATAAGAAGACATTGTAGGCCAATAGTTTAAGATGATGTTTGAGTGGCTACAGATCAGATGTGGGCAATGTCTTTTTAAACATTAATTCTCAAATATGAAACTTCTAGACATGATACCTAACTTGGATCTTCTGCATCAGGGATCTGGCTGCTTCAGCTATTACCATCTTAGCAACTCTGCTCCAGCTTTTAAAAGCAATTTCAAAGGAACATGGCTTCAAAGCTTTGGTTACATTCTATTAGACTACATTCCAGTAGATGAGTACCAAGGGCTGTGATAAAATTACTTGTGCTTCATAGATCTGGAATACAGACTCCTCGTGGTGATCAAATACCACCAGGAATGGGGCTATCCAGATATTTATTTCCACTCATAAAATGAGCTGTTTGTCCAGGCTCTGCAGCATAATGGGATGGTATCACTTTTTCCTCCTTGCAGATGTGAATGAATGTGAAGTTTACAAGCTGGAGGGAGCCCCTCGTCTCTGTATGCACACCTGCATCAACATTCCAGGCTCATACCAGTGCTCCTGCCCCAGTGGATACAGTGTCTTCAGCGATGGGAAAAGCTGTGAAGGTGACACATTGCTTTACAATTGCTAAGTGTATAACAGATGGTGCTTTGCAGGAATGAAAGAAGCATGGCAGAGGGGTTAGTTTCAGGTTTCCTTCAGAGCTTTTAGGTGATGAAGAACTGCTAGAAGTGTAGGATTCACATGCAGAGCCTTTATTTTCCATCAGAGCTTAATTTGACTGCAAGCCCATTTTTTGTTTTCAGAAATGTGGAACCTGTTTTTTTGTCATAAGATCATTTTTTGTTTTCAGAAATGTGGAACCTGCTTTTTTGTCATAAGATAACAAGCAAAGTGGGATACAATGACATAATAACAGATAAAATTAAAACAACAAAAACAATCGACAACCAGAAACAGCAACAGTGAGACCGATTCCCCACAAACAGCTGTGCCGCCATCATTCTTCTGTTTCCCCCGCTTGCATCGGTCAATTTGATACTATTCGCTGCGCAGCGACATTTTGATCTGAAGCTCCCCCTAATTTCCCCCACGTCTTCTTGATCTCAAAAAACAAGGATTGAGAAGATGCAGGGGAAATCAGGGGGAGCTGTGGGTCAAAATGTGGCTGCACAGCGAATAGTGTGAAACTGACCAGTGCAAGTGGGGGAAACAGAAAAGCAACGGCAGCACAGCTGCTTGTGGGGAATCTGTCTGAGACTAGTGCTAAAAGCCAATAGTGAGCAACAGGGCATAAAACTAAACAGCAGTCATTAAAACCTCAAAATCAACAAGTGGTCACCCTCACTAAAACGTTGGAACAGAGTCAAACAACAACAAAACAGATCAGCTAATAGACCATCCAAAGCCCTCTGGAACATAACAGAATCAAACCACCCAGAAGGCTGGTTAAGGCTTTTGTTTTGTTTTGCTTTGTTCTGGAAGGCTTTTCATGGTATTATCATTTGCCCTGTCTTCTGGTCCTTACAGAGCTACAAACTCAGGACCTGAAAAGGAAAGCTGAAACATTGCCTGCTCTCTCCAACAGGACAATCCCCAGACTTCTAACAGTGTTTCAGGAGTTCAAAGCACTTTACATAAAACAACACTGTGAGGTAAACCAGAATTATTATCCCCTTACTGAAGACAGTGGCAGAGTCTGAGAAACAGTGGTTTCCTAAGGACACCTAATGAAGAAACAGTGGTTTCCTAAGGAACTGAGGAAACAGTGGTTTCCTAAGGACACCTAGTGAATTCCTGGCTGAGAGGAGATTTAAACTAGTAGAGCCTCATGCTCTTAGGAGGAGGAATCTGGAGCCCCTCCCCCACACTGCAGTCTGGATCCAAATCAGGCCCCTGTGGTGCTTGGGAAGTTCGTTCCCACCAGCAGCTGTCTGACTGAGGTGAATGAGAGTTGGGTTGGGGAACCCAGACTGACTCAGGAAAAAAGTGTCGTGTCTAGTTTAATGCGAAAGACAAACTAGATGGGACAGTGGCACAAGCCATGGGGGAGGGGGCAATTTAAAGCACAACATGAGCTGGCAGAATGGGGCTACAGAACTGTACCTCTCCACAAGTTTTCTCTTCCAAAACCACTTCTCCCAACGGACATCCTGGACAAGAAGCAAGCCCTGCTGGGGGAGAGGGGAATAACAGCTGTTAAGAAGAAGAATTTTCCAAGAAGACTCATTGCTCTTTGTCATTGCCCTGATATCATTCACAGTCATTCTCAACAACACAGGCCTAGGATACTAGCTTTCAAAGACAGACCCAAGGATTTCACATTTATTTATTTATTTATTCAAATTTGTACCCTGCCCTCCCCGCAAAGTAGGCTCAGGGCGGCTATCGTGTATGGATGATTTGAAAACATATAGAAAGTCATCATCAGAGATTGATTCTTTGCTAAATACAGTCTGAATATTCAGCAAAGATATAGGAATGGAATTTGGCCGTGATAAATGTGCAGCATTAGCACTGAACAGAGAGAAGATAGTTGAACAAGGAGGAATCAAGATGCCAAACAACAGCAACACAAAAACACTGGGCTTTGAAGAAAACGACAAATATCATGGAATTTTGGAAGCTGACAACATCAAGCATACCCTTGTTAAGAAAAATACAACCAAGAAGTACTACCAGAGAGTTAAAAAGATATTGCAGACAAAATTAAATAGAGGCTGTGGCAGAACGGGCCCGCGTCAGCTGGCAGACCCTGCTCTGCCCACCCCTCCTTTGCCTGGCCTGGCACCTGAAGGGGCAGTTTTTAACCACTGCCTCCGGGTATTGCTGCCACCACTGTCCCTGTTTTGGGCTCTGGTCAGGCGGGACAGCCTCCTAACCTCCCTCTGATGTCACTAGGAACCCACCTTGGGGCTTCCTGGTAATCTTTGGGGCTCCCCTGGAGAGTTGGCAACTGACCGTTTTGTCCTTATTCTCCTCCTTAGGGAGTCCCCAACCCACTCTTAGCGTGTCCAAGCGGCTGGGGGAACTATGTGGTACAGAGGGTACAGTAAAAGAATTTATTTTGAAAACACTTAACTATATACAGGCATATTAACAGTGAACTGAAGAATTAAAATAAAGGTGGATAATAAATCGCTCCATCTCTCCCTTCACTACACATACCCTGTCTAGATGGTCTGCAGGGCAGGCACATGACTTGTTTTCAATGGAGGAACTCCACAACTCTCAACATGGCCTCTGCCTCCTGCAGTCTCCAGCCGACAGCCTGACTGGCTCCAGACTTCAGGCAGACTGACCTCAATTTTCACAGACTAGCTTCCCGCCAAAAAGCTCCACTATATCAAACAGCCCTTCCCACCCAGGAAGTGGCTTTCCCTCCAGCAGCATTCTGGGGCAAATCTCCTCACAGCCTTGATGGACTTCCTGTCCTCTCTAGGGAGCTGCCCTCTGACTGCTGGTTGGAATAAGGAGGGGGGGGAAATGAGGAGGAGACTAGGCCAAGACCTACCTCAGGTTTCATGGTCTCCTCTTATCTGGCCCACACCAACTTAAACATATACATAAAATGGTGTTTCTCCACAGAGGCCATGGGGACTTTCAGGGAAGGGAAAGAAGAAATAGTGGGGTAGGGGAAATGAGAGTCTGTGTAGGTCCCTCGCTTGTATCCTATAAAACACCCCTTTGTTGCAAGCTCCTGCTGTACCTCTCAAATGTTATCAGGAATTGGAAGGACTCCCATACTGACACCCAAGTTGGTCCACCATTTGCCTCCTTTCTCAGTAGCCACACGCAGCATTCCCAGGCCTGACAGTTACTCCTGCCTGTTACATCAAATACCCCTGATGCTACTGAATGCAGTAAAAAATATGACAGTAAGGACTGGGCTTCCAAAATGCCGTGCAGAGTTTCATGGCAGTGTGTAATGCACTATTAAAAATACTAGCTGTGAATACTAAAGAGAGCAAGAATCCCAGACAAGGTATGCATTGTAATATAGTTGAGGTATGTGGGGAGGTCTGAAGGTGAAGTGCCAAGAACTGCTGGGAATTGAATAGCGATATTGTATCCATGAAGCATGCATTCTGTGCTCTTGGACTGCTTTAGAAAATCCCTTCAGGTTTTCACGAAACAGAGCTAGTTGCTGGATTTTAAGAAAGCAAGCTTTACTGCCTATTTCGTAAGCCAGTTACTCTATAGTATTTCAATGTATTGCTTACCAGGGCTCTTTTTGTAGAAAAAGCCCAGCAGGAACTCATTAGCATAATAGGCCACATCCAACAGCAGGAACTCATTAGCATATTAGGCCACACCCCTGACAGCACAGCTCATTAGCCCATTAGGCCACACCCCCATGTCACCAAAAGTGTGGTCATCCAGCCACACCCACCTTTTGCTTCTTATTCTGTTCACCTTGTTTGTTGTCAAAACCCAGGGCTTTTTTTGTAGCAGGAACTCCTTTGCATGTTAGGCCACACACCCCGAATGTAGGCAATCCTAATGAGATTCTGCTGTTGGGTGTGGCCTGTTATGCTAATGAGCTCCTGCTGGGCGTGGCCAACTCAGGAGCCAGCCGGAACTCCATTCCTGTGCGTTCCTGCCCAAAAAGAGCCCTGTATATATCCCATCATTTTTTCAGGTAGCTCAGAAAACCGACACGAGGGGTTATCTCATTTTAACATGACTACAGGGCTGTGAGGTAGGGTAGGCTGAGACAGGACGATTGGCTCAGATGCACTTCTTGAGCTTCATGACTGAGTTGGAATTTGAACACAGATCTCCCCAATCTCATACTCTGTCCACTGCCCCTTGCTGGCTTTCCGCAGGCCCTCTCAAATCGGGAAAGCAGACTGGCCAGTCCTTTGGATCAATTTGAGCAGCAGCAGCAGCGCAAACCCACAGTGACATGGGTCTTTCCCCAATGATAGCACAACAATGACAGTATGCGCTTCTGTTGTAGGAATGTCATGTCTTACTCTCACTTAAACTAAATGGGGTTTGAAAATGCAATTCTCCCAAGGGATTTTTTAAACTGGTAAATAACAGGATCAGGGGGCTCCCAACAGCAGTCCCCCAGCACCATCTTCTGATTTTGGTTGACAAGATCTTGATCCACCAGATCATGGTACCCCCAATTCCCATCTGATCCAACTTGATCAGAAGGATACTATATCTGATGGCATCAAAAGCCAGCAAGAAGCCGAAGAGTATCAGCAGCTGCACTCCACCTATCTTCTGATGAAGATCACCAGAGTGACCAGAGCAGTTTCAGCTCCAAAGTTACAACAGAAGCTGATAATCTGTTGACGTCAAGAAAGGCCAGTGTTGTAAAAACAAAAATGCTTGAGTGCCTTGCCCAAAGAGGGGGTAGTTAACAATAGAATCCTAAATGGAGTAACTGCATAGGATTGCATTGTAATTGTGCAATCCCAATAACACTTTGCTGGGTGTAAACCTCACTGAAGTGGGACTGACGTCTGAGTGGACCTGCTTAGGATAGCTCCCTAGGTCACTTAAGCTTCAATGGGGCTTCTTCAGGAGGGGCCAACTGCTAACCTCAAGACAGTTGGGACCATCCTCTTCCTTAAGGAAGTTTTATCTG